GCTCATTGATATAGTTACTAAACCATACTGATTGAAGCACAATTCTGGCTGAAGTATATAGATAACTTGGAGCTCGAGAGTGGGATAGAACTGAGAAAGGATAGTGTCATGTGTGCTTTTTACACATGAATTGAGATATGGTACAAGTTATTACCCTTTCTGAATATACTTATCAACTCTGGAATAGAAGATGATTTGAAATAACTTTGTGAACAATCATCTTTTCAAAACTTAAGGCTAATTTAGATTCCTGATCCCACCTAAGCAAATGACTTTTTCCTTCTTTTACTAACATGTCCTTTCTCTGAAGGTGGAAGATTTGAGACTAGCATATGGCAGTGGGTACTACCGAAATGTGAATGGAGTGCACGCCTCTGAGCCTGTGCTAGACAGTAGGAGGAGAAACTCTGCATTGGAGGTGACATTTGCAGCAGAGCTGGAGCGTTCCAAACCAGAGGCAGATCCCACATTGTTACATCAATCGCAAAGCAGTTCCTCTTTCTCTTTTTTTTGTACTGATCCTGTCTTTACCACTGACAATGATCCTGACACTGATTCTAGAGACTACTTTGAGGAAAGAAGTCCTTTAAGCTCCTTCCGAACAAGCTGTAAGTTTGCTGACAATCACATGAACACATCTTCTGGCCTTACAAGCAAAGTGAGTCCAGCAAGGAGGTTAACATACACAGATGTCCCATATATTCCTTGTACTGGTCAGCAGGTTGATACTATGCCTCCTCAAATATTTTTTTATATGGACAATCCACCCCAGGTGCCCAGATGGTCTCCAATTATGGTAGAGGAAAGGGAAAAGCTAGATAGTTATATAGAACCCACTGCAATGAAGCCAGCCAAAAGAAGCCCAAGGAATATCAGAATGAAGAGCTTTCAACAAGACTGTCAAGAACTCCAAGAAGCTATGGATAGGACAAGTGGTAAGAGCAACATAAACGTAGATCTAGAAGATCCAGATTTAGAAGATGCATTTGCATATAATATTCAAGAGCAACCCCCTAAACGCTCCCACAGCCAATCAGACATGAAAACTATCCGTTTTCCTTTTGGGTCAGAATTTAGACCTTTAGGGCCTTGTCCTGCTCTGAGTTGTAAAGCTGACCTGTTTACTGATATGTTTGCAGAGCAGGAGTTTCCAACAGCTCCAATGGATCAGGAAGCAGCAGAAAGGTGTGTAGCTAATGAATCCAGTGATTCTGAATCAGAGTTTCTTAAACCAGACTATTACTCTTTGTATGGTAAAGGAATGAGGTCACCCATGGCCAGAATTCGCTTGTCTTCTGGTAGTCTACAGCTAGATGAAGATGATGAAAATGTTTCTTCCAATACCACAACTGCTGAAGACAGGACTTTATTAAAACCATGTAATTACTTTTTAGCTTAAAAGTGTGAATTTTGTGACCATATTTGGACCAGTCCTGTTACCAACTTAGGTAACAAGAAGGAACCTTCTGCATAAACCATTTTCTTAGTTCCTATTCATTGGTATTTAGTGACTCCTCAAAGTTTAGGCATGTGGCTAATGAAATATTCAAATGCCGCCATGTTTATCAACTTGTACTCTTCTATTCCCTCTAAAAGATCTGTGGAACATGCCCTCTCCTCAGCACTGTAGTGAAGTGGTGGGTATTTGTCATCTCTATGACACATTTCCCCGTAGAGACATTATAAATGAAGATCAGACTCCTTAATACTGAAGAATGGTTACAGCATGGGTTGCAATATAGAATTGGCTTCTTATGTCATTTAGTGATTTATTAAATTGTGACTGTGTTAGTCATTTTGTTCTTAAATAATACTATGACTAAAGGTTTCAATCCTCACTATCTGTCTTCCTGAAGCTCAGGAACAAGATATGTCATAGAGTCTCTCAACAGCCACAAGTTTATAATTTATCTAGGACTTGGCAGAATTCTTATCCTTAGAAATGAATGAATCAATCCATTTCTAAAGCCAGATATATGCCTGCTGAGGATATAATGATGTTTAACTTATTACTTCTCTATTCTTAACTATTTTATGTAGTGGAAGAGAAAAACTAATTGTTGGTTTCTTTAATCTCCTGCAAGACTTTTTATTTTTTGCTATATCTTGTTGCATGTATGTAGGTAAGGAAATAAGAAGAATAGTATTTTAACAGAGAATGATTGGAATCCATTTATTAAAAGTGCTGTATTATTTTCCTTTTATTTTAATAAATTTCAGGAGTGATTGGTTCTAGCGTGCTACTAAGGAAAAGGACTGAAGGAGTGAAAGGACGTAGTCCAGTGAAAATGTATAATTATGAAGAAGTGGTAGAATTAGGATAGCTGAAAAAAATGATAGTACTAAAAGCAGACTGAGTTAATAAACCAAAGTCTATTCTTAACCCATTCAGAACTTTTCTACTCTTCCCCCTGGAAGGCACAGCATTCTATTTAAGATCATCTTCTGGTTTACTGAATTAAATTTTGAGTAAAGCATATGAGATAATGTTAATTACTAACTTTAAAAATGTTTCAATTATATAAGCAAGCTATTTTCATATATTACTTAATGGAGAAAAGATGGATAGAATAATTTTCTTATTCTCCTAGTCTTTTCATCAGAAAAATTTCTTTTAATATACTTTCCTTTACCCCTTTCCCATATTCTAGCACTTTCTTTCCTGCTCCTGAAATTGTGTCCAGTAACTTACAAGTATAGAATAGATAGTTTATAATAAGAATATACAGGGATGAGCAGTTGTTTATATGGAAAAAGACATGCAGGTTTTGATTATTACAATAGCTTTATTAACTCTGATTCACATACTCACAACTATAAACCTAATTTTGCCCACCTCACTATTGAAGTCCAATCACCTATATATTAATCCTTAATACCCTCAAACCTATATTAAGTTCACCTTTGACTTTTTCTCTAGGAAAAACTCAAATTAATTTAGGCTTATATGTTGTTTCTTGTTTCAATTTCTATAAGTCTTTGTAAAGTTTGCTTTCCCCAGAGAACTATAGGATTCAAATTTTGAGATTTCCTAATAAAAACTATAATCAGAGGGAATATATAATTTATTGTCCAACATAGAACATTTTTGAATGAAAGAGTACTCTGTTAATAATTTTGTCAGGATAGAAGGTGGAAATGAGGACATATATTCACTGTAGCTATAATAAATGCTTAATAAAATAAAATGTGAAAAATGTTTTTTAGGTTCCAATTAGTATTAAAATTCCCACAATAAATTAAAGGACAAAGGGGAAATGATTTGAAACTATTAAAATACCACACCATACATTCCTCAAGAAAATAAACACTGAGGACCAGAAAATTTAAATATTTATTTTATTCCCCTCAAACACTGGAGTACGCTTCACCTAGAAACAGTTTACAGGACTATTAACTACAACAAATAAGCAATACAATTTATATTTATAATGCAGTTGTGATGTAAAGTTTCAAACAATCAATTTATAAATTAAAAAAATTCTTTTAACTCAGGATATGAGTGGCAAATTTATTTCCTGACCTCTACAGATTATAAAATGTAATTGAGCTTCAGTTACATAAAAGTTGAAAATTTTAACTGAGCCATTACTTGAAAATACAATGTGTTAAAAGTAATTATTAAAGTATAGGCACCAATGAAAAGAATTTTCTTGGCATATGACATGACAAAAACTTGTCTTCGTTGTTACAAAAAAGAGGAGGTAATGGCCACTTTGATTAAAAAGCATATTCTTTACTTGAAGAATATCTTTCTTCTAATATTTGGCAATTATTCAGATTTTTAAAAATGACTTTTGTACAAAACGAAATTGTGCAGTTCCAAATAATAAAACATCAAGCATCAAAATTAACTAGTATCAATAATTCTACAACTACAGTTCAGAACTTAAGCAGGCATAATATATATACTAGTACTGGGCTTAAAAAAAAGTATTACCCATATAACAGTACCATAAATATAACTGAAAATTAACTGTACAGTCTAACTTACCTTTGTACAGACAGAAATCATCCTGTATTATGGTTACTTTCATATGAACCAGAAAATTCCTATTTAAATACCCTTTCAAAGATGAACAAATGATGCTTATGTACTGGATAATTATGAAGAGCAAAAATGTATAAATAGTTTATAGCATATTTTACTACCGTGACAAAAATATGCTGGTGTAAATTATATTCCTACCTGTTGACCAGGTTTTAATCACATGAAGAGCAGCTTTTTAAGCTCCCCAAATCTAAGCATATAATATGCTATTTGAATTGAAGATTTTAAAAATGAAGACTAATTCCTACAGTATTACTTGGCATTGCATTAAATCCTCAACCAGGTTATATAAGAGTTAATTTCCTCTTCTAAAAGAGAAGGTAAATACTGCACACCAAGAAGTACCCCTGTGCTACATGTTGCCCATAAATACTTTAAACACAGGGCTCTTTAATGTGATCATCATTGAGCTACCTGGAATATCATACCAACTTTGTAGAATGCTTTTCCAGGTACCATTTCCAAGAGTTTATTAAAAATTTCTCTTGTAAGAAGGTATGACTTGTTTGTACCTCTCCACTCCACCCACAGTAATTTTTAGAACATGCTTGTATTTTTTTTAAAGCTTTTTGAGGTTTGATGATTTATAAAGTTGAATATTTCAAATGACTTTGAGAGACCTGTATGTTTCATCAGTGTATAAGATCAAAACATGGAAGGTATTCATCCTAGTAACTTAATAATGATATCTAAAAGCAAAACTATATCTCAACATTTACTAGAAAACAGATGAAACTATAGTATTAAAAGTTATTCCTTACAAAATAATCTCTTTAAAATATAAAATGATAAACACCATCACAAAATAGTTGAATAGCTTCTTTCACATCTTCAATGTTGCAAAGATCCAAAAGGCACATGGAGCTCATGAGTTAAGCATTGTTAAGCTTGAAGTGACTTTGGTGGGTTTCTCTGAGTCCACATGAAATGAAAGCCAATATTAAGTTTCTCAGGGGGATTCATCTGCTGAACACCTACAAAATTAAGAAAAACTTATATTGATATACAACTATGCATGTTTATATTTCACATCTGTATGAAATCTACAATAAAGAAACAGATTCAGCAAAGTAAATCCTTTCCATTGAATCCTAACATGTAGATGTTAAAAATTTAAAGTTCAAAAATCCCTTCCACATTTGATTTTACAACTGGCAGTTGATTTTGTTTACAAATTGGAAAAGAGGGAGGAGTGTTCCATTAAAACCTAAGGAGTTTTAGGTTATAAGAACAAGTAGGTTTTATCAGATCTAAAGATCTATGAGCGTGTATGCTTTTATAGGCTTTATAGTTTGTTCCTACTTGATGCCAGTGATACAAAGAAATATAAAGATGCAACAAGAAGTGATATAATGGGATTAAGGCTAAAATTAGTATTGCCTCATAATGTACTTGAGCTAAGGAGTTGTGTATTTGCACAAAAGCCTTGTTCAAAAGAGCATTTAAAAATTAAATGGAAGGGCTGTGTTGAATGTTAAAAAAAAATTAAACCAACAGATTGAGTCACAATATAGAAACAAAAGTTAATTATAAGGAACATTTATAGCCTTCAATGAGTTCCTCTACTTAAATCTTTTCCTTATTTTTTTATGGGGATTAAATTTATGAATTTTAGCACTGGAAACTGTAAATAGTGGTGTAATGAGAGTAGTGGCAAAAATGAACACATTCCTAAACTATGTTTACAAGAGCCCAGATAAAAATATATTCCATACATAATCTTTTGTCTAGACTTCATCTAGCAAGGAAAGTGGGGGGAGGGGCATAAAATTACTTTGTAATGCCTGAAGATAATAATTCTAAAAGCTAATGTTTAAAATGGGCAACAAGCAAAAAACTTTTTTGAAATTTAATTCAGTTTATTGTGGCAACATTGGTTAATAAAATTAAGCAAAACAATCAAATAAGCAAACAAACAATCAAATAACAACCACACAAGGACTTCATAGGCACAGGCAATAGCATGGTGATTACCAGAGGAAAAGGGGGTAGAGGGAGGTAGAAGAGAGTATAAGGGGAATAAATGGTGATGGAAGGAGACTTGACATGGGGTGGGAAACACACAACACAATAGACAGTTCATGCATTATAGAATAAAAGAGTTTTTAAGCATACAACTATAAAAAAGTGATTTTGTAAGGAACAATTTAAATAATTGAATCAAGGTAATTATATTGCATTATAAATTAACATCCAACAGAAAATGTCAAAACTTTTTTTTAAAAAAAACATTTCAAACTTACTTTTGAAATTTTTCAATTAATTTCTTCACCATTTTATCTGTGATGCCAGGACAGGCGGCTTCAGCCACAGCAATACTTTTCTCGAGTTCTTCAATTGCCTGATTCCTACTAGCATTATTCTCATCCTGCTGTTTAAGCTGAAAAAGATCAATGCTATAACATTTAAAATTACTGTGTTTCCAAAGATCATACACCATGACCAAGTAGGATTTATTCCAGGAATGCAAGGATGGTACAATATCTGCAAATTAATAAACGTGATAAATCACATAAACAAGTTGAAAGATAAAAATCATATAGGCATATCAATTGATGCAGAAAAAGCATTTGATAAAATCCAACACCCTTTCCTGATAAAAACTCTCAACAAGGTGGGAGTACAAGGATCATACCTCAACACAATAAAAGCTATATATGATAAACCCACAGCCAACATCATACTCAATGGGCAAAAACTAAAACCATTCCCTCTAAGAACAGGAACAAGACAGGGATGCCCACTTTCCCCACTACTCTTTGACATAGTACTGGAAGTACTAGCCATTGCAATTAGACAAGAGGAGGAAATAAAAGGCATCCAAATTGGAAAAGAAGAAGTAAAACTGTCCTTATTTGCAGACGACATGATATTGTACATAAAAAACCCAAAAGACTCCATTAAAAAACTAATTGACTTAATAAATGAATTTGGCAATGTAGCAGGATACAAAATTAACGCCAAGAAATCTATGGCATTTCTATATACCAACAGCGAATTTATAGAAACAGAGACTAAAAAAGCAATTCCATTTACCATCGCACCAAAAAAATTAAGATACCTAGGAATAAATTTAACTAAGGAAGTAAAGGATCTATATGCGGAAAACTACACGACACTGAAAAAAGAGATAGAGGAAGATGTAAACAGATGGAAGACCATACCATGTTCATGGATTGGTAGAATCAACATCATCAAAATGTCCATACTTCCTAAAGCAATCTATAGGTTCAATGCACTCCCCATTAAAATACCAACGGCATATATCACTGACCTAGAAAGAACTCTCCAAAAGTTCATTTGGAACAATAAAAGACCCCGAATAGCCACAGCAATCCTGAGAAAGAAGAGTAAAGTAAGAGGGATCTCAATACCAGACTTCAAACTGTATTAAAAAGCCACTGTTCTCAAAACAGCCTGGTACTGGCACAAAAACAGACATATAGATCAATGGAATCGAATCGAGAACCCAGATATCAACCCAAATCACTATGCTCAATTAATATTTGACAAAGGAGGCACGAATATACAATGGAGTCAAGACAGTCTCTTCAATAAATGGTGTTGGGAAAATTGGACAGATACATGCAAAAGAATGAAACTAGATCACCAGCTTACACCATACACAAAAATAAACTCAAAATGGATACAGAACTTAAAAATCAGACGGGAAACCATAAAAATACTAGAAGCATCCACGGGCAGCAAAATCTCAGACATATGCCAAAAGAACTTCACTGATACTGCCCCTAGGGCAATGGAAGCTAAAGAGAAAATAAACAAATGGGACTACATCAAAATAAAAAGCTTTTTTACAGCAAAAGAAACCATCAACAAAACAACAAGAAAGCCCACGGTGTGGGAGAACATATTTGCAAATAACACCACTGATAAAGGTTTAATCTCCAACATCTACAAACAGCTTATACAACTAAATAAAAGGAAGATGAATGATCCAATTAAAAAATGGGCAATGGACCTAAATAGAATATTTCCAAAAGAAGACAGAAGGAAGGCCAAAAGGCACATGAAAACATGCTCAAAGTCACTAGTTATCCGAGAGATGCAAATCAAAACAACAATGCGGTACCATCTCACACTTGTCAGAATGGCCAACATCAACAAATCAACAAACGACAAGTGTTGGCGAGGTTATGGAGAAAAAGGAACCCTCGTGCACTGCTGGTGGGAATGCAGACTGGTGCAACCACTGTGGAGAACAGTGTGGAGTTTCCTCAAAAAACTGAAAATGGAACTCCCATTTGACCCAGTAATCCCACTTCTAGGAATATATCCCAAGAAACTAGAAAACACCAATCAGAAAGGATATATGCACCCCTAGGTTCATAGCAGCACAATCTACAATAGCTAGAATCTGGAAACAGCCTAGGTGCCTGTCAGCTGATGATTGGATAAAAAAAACTATGGTACATCTACATAATGGAATACTATGCTGCCATAAAAAAGAAGGAATTCTCATCATTTGCAGCAACGTGGATGGAATTGGAGAACATCATGCTGAGTGAAGTAAGCCAGTCAATGAAAGAAAAACACCACATGACCTCACTCATTTGTGGATAATAAAGAACATTATAAACTGATGAACCAAAAGATAGATATAGAGACAGTATATCAACAAGCAGACTGTCAAATTACAGCGGGGAGGGGAGGAAGATCTGAGGGAGATAATAGATCAACCAAAGGACTTTTATACATGCACATAAGTACAACCAATGGACATAAAACTCTGGGGAGGGAGGGGATGTGTGGGAGGGGAGGAGGAGGGCAAAAAAAAAATCAAAAAAATATATTTAAAAAAAAAAAGACTGAAGAAAGGACCTCTTTTCCACTATTTCGAATACTTAATATCTAATTTCATAACATCACATGTACCATTTTAAGGAAGTGATGATTTAGTGGGAAATTAGTGCTTTGCATTTGTATACTGTAAATATAAATGACGATTTGTTTGAAATGTGTAACTTTGATATGCAAAAGATAATAACTCACAATGTTAATATTAAATATTCCTTCAAAATAAAAAAATAAATTAAAAAAATTACTGTGTTTCTTAAGATACATAGTCAATGATGAATCTGTACTTACTTCAGCAAATGCAGGTGTGATTATCATAGACAAACAGCTCAGGGTTTGCACAAGTTCTTTCTCCTTTGAACAAATAATATAGATTATACACATGAAATTAAAACATTCATTGATATTTTTGTTTTCTTTCTATGGTTAATGTGCATTAATTTGAATCCTCCCCCCACCCCCCAAAAATACCCAATATAAGGCAAATCTCCATGCTGTTTTTCCATCGCTAATTTCATCCATAATCCAGAAGGTTTCTAACTTCTAGGATTATAATAGATATCCATGATTTCACTGGAGATATATATATATATATATATATATATATATATATATATATATATCTACGTAAAATACATTTAAAATTATACAAGTGGCCACATAAATTATTTCTATGACCTTAATTAGCTCATAACTAATGACAAATGCAGTATACTAGGGACACAGTGAAGTAGACAGGCATTTTAGGGGTATTAAATTCCAATAATTTTGACCATCAGAACCTCATTACATAGTTTGAAAAAAATCTATCAAGAGGAAGTGATCATCTCCATGTACATACTGCCCCATTCTGCAGTTTCTTTGGGTCAGGCTTCTTTCGCACGGTGGTAAAGCTCCATTCAGGATGAGTATTATTTTCCCTGCTGGTGGATTCCCTGAAATGATTGCCAAAGATATTTCAATAAGTTCTTAAATAATTCAGCTTGGTGAAAATACCAAATCAATGCAATCAAACTCTTAAGAGAAACTGTCCCAATGTATAAGATAATATAGTATTAGAAAGCATTTGATTTCAGTTTCAGGTGGATAATACATTTTATTGAAGAGTAGAAATGGTTCTCAAGTCTAAGTGTACATCACAATCACATATGGGAACCTCTAACCATATATAAAGCCCTGCACCTACCCCTCCTCACTCACTGGATCAGGATCTTCTTTAGGGTGCCTTATTTTTTTAAGGCTCCATGGGCAACTCTCCAGGGCAGCTAAGGCCAACAACCACTAGAACAGCATATAAAACTACCCTGGCATTAGTTTATTCCTTTCAAAAGTTAGGCACTTTCTCATCAATGCAGGACTCTGAGAGTATTTTAGCCAGTGGAGAAGTAAATTCTGGCGCACTCTATAGACTTTTCTAGTCTAAATTAAGTTATGGACCTAAACACTAAAAGGTTAATGTAAAAAGCAGTGTAACTTTTGGGGGGTATCAATCTATATAAATAAATTTAGCAGGTCCTCAATTAACATCGTTTCATTATAATGTTGATGAAGGTTAAAAAAAAAAAGATTCCCTGCCTGGTTCAATATCTTTGTAGAGTTCAACATTCTCCCGCATCCCCAAGATATGCATGTGAGGTGAACTGGTGTATCTAAGTTGTCCCACTCTGAGTGTGTGTGCGTATGTGTGAGGGGCCCTATGATGCAAAGGTGTCTTGTCCACAGTGGGTTCCGCCTTTTGCCCTGAGCTATTGAAAAGGCTCCATTCATCCATGACCCTGAACAGAAAAAAAGAGGACTAGAAAGTCATTATCTGATTTGTCATTATTCATCTTTCTTAAATGTATGCATAGCTTATATTTATTTCAATGCTTTATTTAGATGCTTTCTGATGTTTTTGTGACTAGACATATATCATAGGAATTTAACTCTTGTTTCTATTGATTATCATTATAAACATTTTGTTTTAGTTTGCAGTTTCCAAGAACCTATCAACAATGTTAAGTAAGGACTTACTGTATTTAAATGTACCAGTCTGACTATGGTTTGGTTCATGGTCAAGAGGTGGGAAAGGCCTGCAGGTCATTCTCCAGAAGAATTTTGTAGGTTGACAACAAAGTACGAGAAGATGTAGCCCCTTATCACTTTGGGCAAACTAATATAGCACCTTTAATAAAATCTTATTCCAAAATTTTGTAATATGCTCAAGTATCCACTAGGGGTTAGACTGAGACCATTTAAAACTAGAGCAACTCACTTGTAAGAAAAACATGTTTTCAAATTCATTTTATTCCATGGACTGATTTTAAAAGACTTTCACAGTTTCTAACATAAAACTTTAAAATATAGTTTATATTTTATGCTAGTAAAAGCATACTGGGTCATAGTTAAAAGATATACAATATCAAAACACGCTATGTAAATAACAATGAAATGATTTGTACATACGAATCAGAGCCCTCAGAATCAGATTCATCATCACTGTGTCCTTCTGCCTTCCATCTCTTAAATCGATCAATCAGTTCAGTGAGATAAGAAGTCTTCTTTGAATTTTTTACAATGAATTTGTGTTTCAGCAGTTCTTTAGCTGTAGGACGCTAAGGAAAAAATGAAGCATGGATAAATATTTCTAGGCTCTTTATGATTGAAGGGGGTAAGAAATTGTTTCAATTATGAAGTTGAAAGGTGTGAAAGTATGTCTGCATACATGAGGACAACTAAAATTCTGTAGGACAATACTAATTCTATTTTTGAAGTAGCTCAAGGCAACCAATTATACTCATTGCCTGGTACTTATCTGTTAAAGCTCAATGGGCAAAAAATGGCCTACCTACCAGCAAAATGGCAGGCAGGCCTTCTCAAAAGCAGGGAAAAACATGGCAGGATTTTGAAAATAAAGTAAAATGTAAACCATTTCAAAGTAGTGCTTTGAAATACTTTATTGTATTAACTGCAAAATTTAAAAAAAAAATGGATGCAAACTAGAAAGGCTGTAACTTCAGTATTAGCTGCACACAATTTATGACCCTCAGATTAATTTATATTGCATCTAAATACAAATACCAGATGCTATAAGAGATATTTCCCCCAGAGTATTTTATTAAAATCAGAATACAGCTCTTATATATTTCTACTTTCTAAAAGTTTTCAGGCAGCCTTATTTTAAAAATAGTAAAACAACTGTAATCAAATTTGTTAGGTAAATGAGTGGAGCTTACTAGACTTCAGGAAAAGTGTATAATTTCATCTTGGAATTTCTAAATATACATTTAAAATAATGAGATGAAAATATAGTTTTTCACGAAAAGTGAAAACACAGTGAATAAAAATCATTGTGAATAGTTACATATATATTTTAATAAAGACATCCTATTAAATAAATTTTATTTCTCAAATTTATTTCCCCCTGAAATAGAAAATGATCAATAGAATAAGGAAGAAGCTATGGACCATGAAAAATACAAAACAAAAAACAACAACAAAACACAGATGGGGGGGAGGGAGGACTAAGGATCTTGTTAAAAACTGAAAAGAATTAGCAATATAAAGGAAAAACCAGTTTCCTGAATGGACTTTTGACAATTTTCACATGCACTGTATTTCCTCATTGTAAAAAAATATATATACATTTGTTCTATGTAGATCTGATAATAGATAACAGTGGCCTCATATACTTACAAATGATGGATCTTTGTTCAGGCAAGCATCAATAAACTCCTTAAAGGACTTAGTAAACTCTCCGACAAGAGTTGGAGGATTGTTTTTTGGAATAAGAAATAAAACTCTCATTGGATGCATATCGGAGTTTGGTGGCTCTCCCTTGGCTAGTTCAATAGCAGTAATTCCCAATGACCAAATGTCAGCCTAAGTTTAAGAGAAAGAAAATAATATTTTTGAAATTCCATTCCAAAATACTGCCACAAAGTAGCCTGTGGAATTTTAATGGTCACAACAATATTAAAGATTCTCAAGAAATGTTAGCTTAATAAATGTTCCTTAATAAAATTCATTTATTTTTAAAAAGTATCAAATTCTCTATATTATGCCAAGTACCACAGTCTAGGCACTGAGGATTCAGGTGGTAATAAACCAGGCAAAAATCCCTGCTCTCAAGGGGCTTATGTTTTAATAGGAGAGACAGATAATATGTCAGATGATGCTAAGTTCTGTGAAGAAAAGAACTCAGGATAGGATAAGGAAATAATGAATGATGGTGTTGAGGATCTGCAAATTTATACAGGATAGCTAGAGAAGACTAATCAGTGTAGGTAATGCTTAAAGCAGAAAACTGATTGGAAGAAAGGTTATTCCAGATAGAGGGAAGTTAAGTGCAAAAGTCCTGAGGCCAAAGTGTGCTTGCTATGTTTGTGGAACAGCAATCAAGCCACTATGGCTGAAGCAAATATAATATAAAGGAGGGTGACATGAGATGAAGCTTGAGAGCTGGACAAGAGCAAGATCTAGTGAGCAATGTATGTGATACTACAGATTTTGGATTTTACTCCAAGTGGTATGGAACGAACTGAAGGGATTGGGGTCTCAATATTATCAGCATCAGGGAACTTACAATTTAGCAGCAACATTTGTCATAACTCTCCCGTTAGAAATACTTTAAAATGAAGATAAATTAAGGCAGTTTATTATATAGGACAGTATGTTATATAAAATTTATAAGAAACAAAAATAGGCAATGCTTTACTTTTGAGTCATAAGCAGACTGTTGGATAACTTCAGGAGCCATCCAAAATGGTGTTCCCACAAAAGTGTTTCTTTTAATTTGTGTATCTGTCAGCTGGCCAGCAACTCCAAAATCTGCAAGTTTAACATCTCCTTGTTCTGAGAGCAAGACATTAGCAGCTAGGAGGGGAGAAAAAAGACAATGAAATAAATCTCAGCTTCCTTGGAATGTACCTATTTTTCTCAGGTTCATATTAAATTTGTGTATACCTTTTATGTCTCGGTGGATTTTCTTTTCTGAATGCAGATAGTCCAGACCTTTCAAAATTTCCTTTAGCATGGTAGCAATCTGGAACTCATCAAATGGACCAGCTCGCAGCTTAGGGGGGAAAATATACAAACATACATGTATAAAAGTTTAAACTTGATATTATCTTTGAAATAAGGGAACCACTTAGATGTATGAAGCAATTCTGTTTATTAAACCAATATTTAAATAAGTGAGAACAAGTTAAAAGGTGAGAGAAGAAAGTAAAAAAGTCAAAGGAATAGAAGGGTTTTTTAATTATTGAATTTAATTATGAAAGATGATAATACAAGCAGTGTGACCTATTACTAGCTCCAAATCCTGAGGTTTTAAAATATTTACATAAACAATTTAAGATACACTTACATAATGGCAAAACTAGCTTTATTTGTTCATTTGAGAAAAAGGAAATTAGTTACTTAAATTTTTACATTTGTTCAACAGTTATTAAATATTTGCCGGCTGGTGTGGCTCAGTGGTTGAGCACTGACCCAGGAATCAGGAGGATACAGTTTCAATTCTCAGTCAGGGCACATGCCTGGGGTGAGAACTCAATCCCCAGTAGGGAGTGTGCAGAAGGCAGCTGATCCATGATTCTCTCTCATCATTGATGCTTCTCTCTCCCTCTCCCTTCCTCTCTCTGAAATCAATAAAACACATTTAAAAAATAAAAACATAGCCCTAGCTGGTTTGGGTCTGTAGATAGAGCATCAGCCCTCAGTCTGAAGGGTCCTGGGTTTGATTCCAGTCCCAAGCTACCTACTTTGGTTGCAGGCTCGATCCCAGGTTATGGTTGGGACTCATGTGGGAGACTACCGATTTATGTATCTCTCTCACATCAATGTTTTTCTCTCTGTCTTTCCCTCTCCCTTATACTCTCTCCAAAAAGTAAATCAATATTTAGAAGTTAAGGTTGATAAAAAAAAAAAAAAAAAACTGCATTTAAAAAGTTATTCAATATTTACAATTAACTTATTTTTAGCATTAACCCAATTTGATCATATAGGTCAACTGTAGCATAGTTCTTAGCATTTATGTGTTTTAATAACATTGCAAAAGCATAGAGACTTTTGGGGACTCAAAATTTAACCAGGAGTATAATAATTAAACTATTCAAACTTTCACAGTTTTTTTTTTAAAATATCAAATCATGGAAGAATACGGTTTTTAAAATAAATATAACATTTCCCTTTCCCCATCCTTGTACCACAGCCAATAGTTTCAACTGGAATACAAGGGAAGCAATTATTAGGTTTCAGGAGAAGTTGTAATGGAATAACTGAAAATCTCTCTTTAAATAAATGGTTATTTTAAAATTCTGCTACCTCATAAAGCACAAACAGTAGACTGTACAACATTTACAGGAAAGGGTGGGAAACCAAAGTCAGAGCTGAGGTGAAGTTCTGTTTGCTGGAAGGAGGGAAGAGGTGGTGAAAATCAACCATTGGCCACTCTGCCTCACATTGGTAGGGGTTCACAGCCCTTTGGCACCTTGTGTATTTCATCTTTCATGAATGCCTTATTTATTCTGAATAAAGGGTACTTTCATGTTGAAATTTAACAGCTTAAAATACTAGAACCCATACTTCCGTCTTACCTTTTAATATTAACTGTGGTCTGGATATAAAGTGTACTTCATGCATATCCATAGTCAATAGAAGCTTTTCCTAGGTAACATTACCTATTTATTTTCAAATCTATCAACTTCTAATCCCCAAATTTATATTTAAACAGTAGTGATTAAAGTCAGTGTAAATGGTAAAAAGTGAATATTATTTTATTGATTATTGGCAATGAAATTCTAAGGTAATACCAAATAACTGAAAGACAAACATTATACTTCTCAAAATTAGTACTGAGTATCACTGATCACAAAATGTTGACAAGGCCATAAGAGGTATACTCTCAATTACTTAAGAAATTGGGCAAGGTTCATATAATGGATACTAGCTATCATTCTGAAGGACTTCTAAAAAGTGGCCTGGATAAGCCAGTGTTCTACCTAAAACAGGATTTAAAAAATATATTTAAGTAAAAACAAACAAAAAAGAAGTACTAAAAATCCATTAGCTTCTCTGGGAGGGGAGATTTTGTGGCAGAGAAATGAGAATGGGATAGTGGTACACTTGAGTTTTTATGGCTCATTACAAAATAGAAAACTATCCCAAAACTTGTGCTTAAAATGTTTCCTTGGTCATCTTAATAATGATTAGACAAAGAGAAGATAAAGGAATTGGAAAAAGAAGAAAAGTAAAATATATGGAATAGAGGGTTGTTGTTATTGTGTGTGTGTGTGTGTTTCCCAAAGCAACCTTGAGAAGAAGAATGCCAAGATTTTGCTCCACTGTACAGAGAGTACATATTTGAACTTCTCTTCAAAGACTGAAGGACTGAAGATTATGCACTAATAGCTAACACCTCCACCTCCAGGGAAGCATACTGGCCTTGGGTAATATGCCTCTGTTGTCAACTGAGGATATGCAAGAGAGGAACATTTGTTCTTTCAAAGATTGTATACTTGTGCATTTGGGTATCTTCCAGCCTGACTCTGGTGCAACATGTTATGTTATGCTTTCTCTTACAGTTAGCATATTGCTTCTTTTTTCCTTGGTGCTCATATTTTATTCTATTAACCTTATTATATGTGCTTTTTTGTAAGTCACTGCAATTCAATAATATATCATATAGTATGCTCAACGTCTGTTGACATACAACACGTGTTTTTTTTTCAAGATGGAAGAGAATCTTGAGGTATACACTATATAATGTTGACATAAATTAAAAGTCACAGTCATATTCCATTAGTCAGGTACTAGCTTAAAGCGATAAACTCTTTCTGTTCAGCATCCCTCTTTTTTTCCTCTTGTTCCTCGTAGCCTAAGCCTATAAGCCTAATCCTTTACTAGACTCCTCAAATGATAGTATTCATTTGTACAGAACTATAAATGGAGAAGAAATAGCATATTTCCTCATTATTTGTTCTCTTTACAAAGTCCAGTTAAATGATATTTATAAATAAATCATAATATATTTGATAGCTAGAAAAATAAGACTAGATAGACTATTAACTTAATTTCTTCAGTTAACACTCAAGAAAATTAACGCAGCTAGTCATGGAAGAACCAGGATTAGAACCTAGGTCTCTTGATTTTTAGCCCCTACAAGGCTAAGAGAAATTTAAGTTCATTGAATTTGAGCTAATTCCCATTTGATTAGGTAGAGGTCAGAATGGCAGGATGAGATTAAGGTTTCACAATCATTTCATTAATAGATTTCATAAAACTGACCAAACTATCATTGGGGGATACAGATTGTGTTAGTTAGAGTTGGGCCAGTGTCTCATGTGTGTATCATTCTTATCAGTGACCCTAATGAAATCAGTGGAATAGCTTTGTCAATGCCAACTAAGCAGGAAAGAGACATTGTGAGCACCATGGGAGACTAGATAACTGTGATAAATTTGGAAAGGGCTCTTACTATGTAAAAAGTGAAAGGAGGATCATGGAGCAACTGTAAGACTTCTTGTGGAGCTAATGGAAAAACAACAACAAACTATTGTATAACAAAATTATGATGAGACAAATAGAAATGAGATTATTTAACTTCAACACAAGAATGAAATTGACTCCATAGGCATGAAGGTTATTATACAAAGAAACACCAATTGTGTTCTATCACTAGAGAGGAATAGAAAAAAAAAAAAAGGAACTCCAACTTTAGAATATAAGAATATATTTCACATTTTCCACAAGGAAGGATTATTTAACTTGGCTGATTAAACTGAGATGAATTCCTAGAAGGATGGAACTCTCCATCAAGTTTAATTAGTTTAATTACCATTTTTTTTAGAATGGTTTAAGAATGGTTCTTAAAAAAAAAAAAAAGAAAGAAAAAAGAATGTTTCTGTTTAAAGGAAAGAATCTCCTATGGTTATTTCTGTTCATAGGATTATTAAAAACTTTGAGTTATTGGCAGTCAGAATTAAACCATATTTAAAATATTTAATCACTTTTAGTTAGGAAAAATCATCTCCACTGAAAAAGTAAGAATTAAAATAGTACTTGATGATCTTATTTTTAGAAGTAGCATACTCTATAATTTCAAAAGCAGAAGCATACTAATAAAATATGTCATAAAATATTAAATATAACTTAGAAATAATTTAGTGCCACTTCTTTGTTTTATATGACATCAAAGTCCAAGAATTTGTGTGTTTGGTTCACAATGATTTAGTTATGAATAGAGCCAGCTCTATAAACTCAAACTTCCATAGGCCAGCCCAGTAGTCATTCTACTACACAAAGCTGCCTCTAGTACTTCACATTGAATTTTAAATACAATGCCATTTTAATAAAGATTGTAAAATGTCAAAAAACAACACTGATAGATCACAGTAATTTGGAGAAAATAACTAGTATTTCTCAAAGGTGTTTTCGGTGTGAACACAACTTCATTGGGTGGAATTTCTGCACACTGTGGAATTTTAGCATCCTCATCTCTGTCCACTAAAAGTGCTGCAGCACTTTCAAGTCATTTGACAATCACAAATGCCATCACATTTCCAAATGATATATTAAGGAGAAGAGAAAACTATAGAGAATGGAATCTATAGGCCTATATGGTCACTAGTGACAGTTACCTGAATTATATATTTTTAAAAATCTAAGAACACTCAATCTTTTCAGAGATAACCTTACAAAGTAAAACTAAACTGACAAATGTGACACACTCCTAAATTGGAGGGGCTTGATTTTATTAAACTACTTGCATTTCTTATATACTCTAAGGAGATGAGCAACATGGTCAATCCTGCAATATAATTAAATCTACGTAAGGGTAGAGGTCCTAAAGAGTTTAATGTGAACATATTAACTAAAGCAACCGCTTAGCTTTCCCAAAAGCTGTTGTTTATTCCAATTTAAAAAAAAGTGGTTATAGCATGGATGTGTATGTTTATTTAAAAATACTTACAAGATCCAGCGCTGAGCCACCACCTAGGTATTCCATTATTATCCATAATTTTGATCCCTGCAAGAATCACAAAACAATGTATAATTATAAACTTGAGCATAACATAAACGTTAAATCTGATATATAATACTAAACTAATGTATTAGTTTTAAAAAACAGTATATTAAAGTTTGGTATTTGGAACCCTGAATATTATTTTTTACATAGAACATTAAAAATTAAAGTAAAATTCTGAGACTTGATCCTCCTCGAAATTTAGTTAGCTTATGATATAGCTAAATAAGTAGCTAATTATTGTTTCTTATTATAGAACTACTAGAGGCCTGGTGCATGAAATTTGTGCGGGAGGGGGAGGGGTTCTATCTCAGCCCAGCCTGCACCCTCTCCAATCTTAGACCCCTTGAGGGATGTCTGACTGACCATTTAGGCCCCATTTCACTAGAATCGAATGGCAGTCGGACATCCCTCTTACAATCTAGGACTGCTGGCTTCCAACTGCTCGCTTGCCTGCCTTCCTGATTGCCCCTAACCACTTCTGCCTGCCAGCCTGATCATGCCCTAACTTCTCCCTGCCAACCTGATTGATGCCTAACTGCTCCACTGCCAGCCTATTTGCTCCTAACTTCCCTCCCCTGCAGGCATGGTCCCTCCCAACTGCTCTCCCCTGCAGGCCTGGTTCCCCTACAACTGCCCTTCCCTAACAGTCTGGTCGCCCCCAACTTCCCTCCCTTGCAGGCTTGGTCCCTCCCAATTGCTCTACCCTTCAAGGTTGATCACCCTCAACTGCCCTCTCTTGCAGACCTGGTGCCTCCCAACTGCCCTCCCCTGCTGGCCATCTTGTGGTGGCCATCTTCTGTCCACATGGGGGCAGGATCTTTGACCATATGGGGGCAGCCATATTGTGTGTTGGAGTGATGGTCAATCCACATATTACTCTTTTATTAGATAGGATTGGCAATTTTCATAATACCCAGAAAAGATAAACCATAGCTTTAAATTATTATTTTAAATTATAATATTAAAGGGAAAAGAAAGGTGCATTACAGAACGAGGAAGTAAATAGAAACCTGCAGAAATTTTGAATAGGAGTTCTGAGTGTTTTCATTCAATTTTCAAATTTAAGGACCCTGGATATTTTGCCTTCTTTTAATTTTTGCTTTTTGTTTTTATGTACTTTACAACTTTATTCAGCCATGATTAATGAAAATTTTTATTAACTTAGAACCTAGAAAGAATAATATCCCCTATTCAGTTAAACAGATAAGAGAAAGGGAGTATATAGCTTAAAAAGAATACGATTACTCCAGTTAGAATTAACTTCATAGTAAGTTGTACAAGAGGAAATGGGGTGCATTGAGAGAATGCATATATGTGAATCCCAAAACAGTTGTATACATACACACAAACGCACCATTCAGTTCTAAAAGTTAGAATAAACCATTATATCTTTTTTCTTCCTTCTTTCAACTATAGATTGAAATACTAGGGATGCCTCTCCATACAATTTCTTGAGTGGTAGTCCCTGAATTTCTGTGGGACCACAAAATTGACTGGAAGAGAAATGGTTGGTTTTACTATACTGGCAAGTGCCAAGTTGAGATTGGATTGTGTTCCAAAAGTACATTTTTAAGTAAGATGTTTGGAATTTAGAAAGCAAGCAGTTCCCCATAAATAATATGTCTAGTTTCCTGGGGTATTCCCCCAAAAGACAATTTAATATAAAGGTATCCATAGTACAGCAGGAAGAGTAGGAAACTACCTACTATTTATTATACCATAACAATATTTCTATGGGGAAATATATCTTCAGTGTGCTTAATTTGGGATGCCAGGAACACCTTTCTCAGCTTTACAAATCCAGCTGTGCGATGAAGATTCTCAAACTATTGTCAGTAGCCCTCAAATTCTAAAATCCCTGGGAAGTACTCATTCAAAATTTCCAAGGAGTTTAATTGAAAATGTGTAAGCATCTTCATGAGGCTGGGGCCTTATCATGGAAGAATGGATTCCAGTAATATCATGATGAGTGTTTAAGGTGGCATTGCAGTGTGGAGAAGGGGATATGGCCTAAGATTGGAGACCAGAGAGGATGGGCTCCATTAATTTAAGATGAAAGGATTCCTCCTTTCTTTCTTGATGCTCACACTATGTAGAATGTAGAAGAGAAAGAGAGGAACAATGCTCCCTCCCGCTAATCTTGACATCCACTCTCTCCTGTCACAAAGGGCCAGCTTAACCTGAGGGAAAAAAAGAGCTGAAAGTCTTTGATAACAGTAGTGTCTATAGAAGGAGAGAGGGAAAATAAATTCCCATTATGTTGATTAGGGGAGAGGGGTTCTAGGATTGGGTCTTGTAACTCATTTTTATGTACAGAAACCAGGTATTCTGAACCTCAAAATTATGAAACTGATGTGCATTTTATATTCTTTTCAAGAGAAGAAAGGGCTTCTCACAACACTGTATAGCCTGAGATTTTTCTTTTGCACAGTGTATTTCTAACAACCATTATATTCTACCTTATGAATGCAGAATGCTTCCCATTCACCTGAAATGTAAAAGAAAAATAAAGAATCTTATAAAACATTTTTATCTGTTTCTGCAGTTCTGCATGAATGAAAGCACCTGTTTTCCAAGGTACAAATTCAAAACAGAATCTTACCAACTTCTATTCTTCACCAAAAATATTCATATAAAGTTTAAAATGTTATTCAAGTTATGACTAATTAACTTCTCAATCTGAAAAGAAGGCTTCCTCTTAGATTTTTTCCCCCTTCAGTGGAAGTAGAACTTTTCTGAGACAGGCAGAGAACCAGAACTGCCAGTAGTTCTTCTGTTTGAGTCCTTCTGATCACCACTTCCAGAGACAAGCCTCACTGACGGATGGCCATAGGTCTGGACATTCAGAAGATTGCTAGGCAGGCATGAATGCTGAAGCAAGGCCTGAGTGGGCATAGGCATAAATGGTGAGCTGGTGGGGTTCCTCACTGCTCAAGGAAACTTCTGTTTACCAGTTCCTTGGCCACAGAAGTTCTCAATAAAAAAAAAAAAAAAAAAAAAAAAAAACAAACAAACCACCAATCACAAGCAAAACAAAATAAAAAAATCTAGATCCTATGTTTTCATTCTTTTGGAGGGACTAAAACTTCTACCTTTGATTTCTGGTAAAAGATGTTTGTGTTGGAGAAAGCAAATAAGTATGTTTGGTTTGCGTTTAAAGAATTAAAAAAGCCAAGATGATGTCTACATTCTAGTTTACAATTCTAAAATAGCCAAGTGACTGGAAACCATAAACATATATCCTATACATTTAAGCATTGGATGTCTCTGTAGGAAAAACTCAACTTCTTCACTTATAAAATGATCCACACATTTTAAAAATGGGTCAGAGGAATAAGTTTAAATTCTTACATTAATATAGTTGGTCAGCTAAATGTTAGGAAGTAGCTCCCTGTTCCAAAATTCAAACTGCCTAAAGAGCAAGTATTCCATAACTGTACTATTTATTGAGGCGTGGCTGGAGTCTAGTGTTAACAAATTACTGGTATCTAGAGTATCAACTCTGTTACCCCATGAGGCCTTTCAACCCCACTGTTTGCTGCTAAAGGCGACACTTGGCCAAAGGGAAAAGAAATGCTGTGGAACTTGGAATGCATTTGTTCATAGAAAATAGACTTAAAATAGCTATTATTCATATATGTATTTGAGAGATCATTATTATATATCAAGTACATGTTGAATGAAATGAGCTGGTCTAGAACTCCAATAGCCAATGATGACATTGACCAGACAAACCAGCATGTATAAGTAAAATAAGCTAGTCACCAAAGAACAAATGTTGTATGATTTCACATATATAAGGAAATTAATGTAGAGATACAGAAGTTAGGATGGTGTTACCAAGGAGTGTAATGAGGAAATAATGAACACTTATTGTTTAATGTGTACAGTTCAAGTTGAGGAATATTAAAAAGTTCTGGAGATGGATGGTGGTGATAATTATACAACAAATAATGTACTTAATGCCACAGAATTGCACACTTAAAATAATTAAAACAATAAATTTTGTGATGTATATTTTACCAGGATAAAAAAAAAAAAGAATGTAGTGTAGCCCTAACCTGTGTGGATTAGTTGGTTGGAACATCGTCTTGTACAACAAAGGGTTGTGGGTAAGATTCCCAGTCAAGGCACATACCTAGGTTGTGGCTTCAATCTCTGGTTGGGGCAAACAGAAGGCAAACAATTGATGTCTCTCTCTCTCCCCCTCTCTCTCCCTCTTTCTCCCTCCCTCCTTCTCTCTAAAAAACTAATGAACATGTCCTTGACTTAGAATAACAAAACAAAAAAAGAATGTAAAATTTTATAGAATTTCAAGTGACAGTAGAGATCATCTTACCATCTCTGAACTGTTTTATTTCAGTTTAGAATTCTTGTCTATGCCCCACCTTCACATCCCAACCTCCATCAAAATCATACTCAGGACTTAGTTCAAATTCTACTCCCCAGTTTTGGGGTTATTGCACTTTATGTAATAAGTGAATAATAGGAGGCAAGTTAGATGTACATATCTGGAGCTAAAGAGAGAGGCTAGAACTAGAGACGTGAATTTAGACATTGTCAGAATAAAGTGAGTGAGACTGACCAGGGAAAATATGTATAATGACAGCAATACACATAAGTAAACATCTGTCAAACTGAACCCCATATGGGGCTTCATAGAAGTGTGTTATGTGAAATTTAAAGCTATTCTTATTTTGAAAAGCAAGAAAAACGTAAGTAGAAAAATTTTCCCTCCTCAATTTCCTTCATGTATTTTTTTTTAAAGTTCTGGACATGGACAACAGTATGGTGATTGACAGGATGAGGGGGAGGGGGTGGGAAGAGGTAGAGAAAGGTATATGTGGTATAAATGGCGATGGAAGGAGTCTTGGCTTGGGGTGGTGAACACACAATGCAGTGTACAGATGATGTGTTGTTGAATTGTGCACCTGAAACCAGTATAATTTTGTTAACTAGTGACACCCTAATAAAGTCAATATAAAGGAAATGAACATAAA